TCAGTCCATTTATTGCATCATCTAGTAGGAGGAGCGCGGTGTTTTCCCTTTGCCCTATTGTTACCCATTTCGTTTGTTTCTCCTTTTTTTTTTTTTTTTTTCGTTTGTTCTTCCATATGTCATTTCGTTTTATCGTTTGCTCATTGATCCGATGTTTATGCATTTATGTCTTACATTTCTGCCCCTTGTTATAAATCAGCCATTTTTTCCATCCATTTATTTTATTTCTTCCTATATACCCTATATAATGACCTGTCTACACTTTTCATACTCGGCAACGACCAAGAAAAAAACAAAAAAAACAAAAAAAAAAAAAATGGAATGCAAAAGTTTTTCAGCTACCCCTCTTCAGCCCTGATATATGCAAATTTTGGCGCCCCGTTGGATTCTTGGATTATTTTCCTTTTATATGCCCGTTCGATTTACTTTCGAGTTTGAGTACAGTACATAATCTTCTTGTCTAACGAATGATGATATGGGTATGATTTTATTGCCTTGGGAGACAGGAACCCAGCGATGGTGCTTTGTTAGCTTGTGCCCCTGTTGTACGGAGTATCTTTGCACTTTTTGGCATGCATACGGTTTGTCGTCTCAGGATTTCCTTTTTTTTCACCTGTTTTGGATACTCAAGCTTTGTGTCTTGAAACGGCGCCGGGTTGTTTGTGCGAAATGGTATACTAGTTATGTTTCAATCCAGATCCAGCTGATCAAGCAAGTCTTTTCTTTTTGATTGAACCAGCCACGTTTAAAATTTACTATATGACAGGTAAGGTATATCGAAGATCTATTATCGAGGAAACCATTACATATTTTTATTGTTCAATCAAAAGGGAAAAAAGGGCCGAGAGTCGTTAAAGTACAGGTGTAAGTAAGGCAGGGAAGATTTAAAGTAGAGGTCGGAAATATGAAGAAATAGCAAAGAGAAGGCTCTAGAAAAACATCACCTTAAGAAAAAGCCGTTCAGCATAACATGTAATAATGATAAGTCTCCTACCCGGTGTCAAGCCACGAAGGAAGGGGATGAAAGGGAGAATAAGGTGGTAAAATAGGGGATAGATGAAACAAAAAAAGAGAAATAATAGGCAATGAAAGATGCAATATCATATACAAGTTCGATCCGTATGATAAAAATAAATGTAAAAGGGAAAAGGGGGAAATATCGACCACGAAGGACTGAATAACTGAATACGTTATAGGCATGTTCCGCAGTATTAGCAAAAAGAGGGAGTACCGTGTCCGGTTACTAAGATTGTGGTGTATTGGATTCTGGCTCTTGGGGATCTTTCTCTTCAGATTCCTCGGTTGTGTTGGCTTCCTTAGCTGGCTCTGGTTGCTCCGTACTTGGAGTATCAGAATCAATTGGCACTTCAGGCTTGGCAGAAGTGTCCTCTTCGTCCAGCTTGCTCTCGGTACCTTGTGTTATCTGAGATTCACTGGCTTCTTCTCCTTTCTCCTCTATCGGTTGAGCAGGAATTTCTGTTTGGTTCTCTTCCAGTCCATCGTCCATACTTGAAACAGTGGGTTCAGATGGTCCGGGGGATCCAGGTGTTTCCTCGGTTGGCTCCTTTTCAGAATCTGTCACTTCTTCTGCTGGAGCCGGCAAAGTTGCGGCGGATTCTTCTAATACTGCAGCAGGCTTTCCCGTGTTACTTGAGTCACTGGATTCTGTGGATTGTTCTTCGAGTGAGATGTTCTGCCCTTCGTTTTGGGTCAATGATTCCGGTTCCTCAGTGATTTCCTCGGCGATGTCCTCGGCGATGTCCTCGGCAATCTTCTCGTTTCTTCCTACCTTAGGTTCTTTGAGTGGCTGGGTCCCTTCTAGGGTGTTTTTATTTAGGTCATCATCTTCTGCCGCCTCAGCAATCGTTGTAACGCCCACACCTGTTGACGGAGAATGACGATGTCGCCTTGTAGTTGCTGCAGACAAGCCTGTACCAGGCTCTTCAAGGCTGTTGGGAGGCGTTGCTGTTACTGAATCTTCCTTGCGCAGGATAGTCAGCCTTCTGTTTACACCTTGACTCTGACTATTCGAGGGTTCGGTGTGAGAAGCATCGCCCTCTGCTTCAGGTGGTATTGTGTAGTTGTCATCAGGAATGAGGCTATAAACGTCGCAAACAGTCTTGAAAAAGACATAAAGGCCATCGTGGCCTTCAACCTGCCAAAAAACTCCCCGATGCTGAAACCAGGCATGGGCAAATATTCGGTACACCCGCCGGAAGACATTCGTCAGATGCCTCATACTTGCTTGAGGCCCTCCAGTCGCATCAGAACCAAGAGTAAGTCGGCTTGGAAAGAATTTGGGTGACGTGAGAACATTTGTTGCCCAGTCAAGAGTATGACAGCAGTAATCAATCGCACAACATGATTTAGGCGGGTCGTGGACGGCACATAGGTACTGCCACTCTGAGGCACGCATTTCGGGACAGGTTTGCGCTGAGCATGGTGGCTCTTCTGCGAAAAACGCAACAACGAGGTTGTTTGCTTTCATGGTAAGGAATCGACATAATTCGTACAGCCAAAGTGACCTTTCTACACCTGCTGGGGGTTCCGCTAAGTCTCGTGCGATTTCTCGGGTTATTGGGGCAACGGTATCAGAACCTGCGGGTTGTGTGAAATGATGGTATGAGGCTTTGAGATGTTCTTGGAGTTGAAAGGGAGAATCGAGCTATAGCCAACATATCGTCAGTCCTTGTTAGCTAACCTCATCTTCTGTTGAGTCTATGAACGAAACGAACGAACCTCAGAGAGCGGAACCAAGGGGGGACCAGAGGCCATATTTGCAGCCTTTGTTCCGGGGCGTATTCTCCGTGCTGATGCATCATCCTGACCATGAGGTATCCCTAAAAATTCGTCGGATCCATCACTTTTCCCGTCGTTGACAGTTGGAGATTTGGGTGCGATCTGTACTTCTGTGAAAGGAGGAGGGCTGGGTAAGCGAGGAGAGCTTGACGGCGATACGGCTGATCCAGACATTATAATAGGCTGTCTATATAGACTCTTCGATCAGCCAGCAGGGTAAAGATAAGCCGGTTTTATAGCTTGCTCAAGCTGTTATTTTTTTTCTGTGATGTAAACATAAACCCGTACCTGAACATCCATGGAAATTAACCGCGCGCAAAAGATGAATCGTGCTAAAGTTGTTCCGTGCCGCCCACTTTAATTGGACGTCGAATATTGATTTAGGTTACATGCATCGATTGATATGGATTGAATCGATTGATACGGATCAATTAATGGTCGGATATATAAAGAAAGGCTGACCGGATTTAACTACCTTGTCTAATTCTCCTTGTATTATCACGATGAGCGCGATGAGCGATGACGATGATAGCCCTCCACAGCTGGTAGATGTGACCGCTACTCCTGAACAGCCGGAGGAACAGCCCAAGACTCCGACAGACCAAAGCCTCCCTAGAGTCCCCATAACAATAGTAACAGGTACTTTGACAGCTACACTTGTTCGATATGACTTCATAATGCTCTAACAAGGCACCTCTTTTTCCCAGGCTACCTCGGGGCAGGCAAGACTACTTTGTTAAACTATATCTTGAATGAAAGACATGGGAAGAAAATAGCAGTCATTCTTAACGGTTCGTGGGCCTTATAAATATCCTTCAGTAACTAGTATACGGCCATACTGACTGTTCAAAACCAGAGTTTGGAGATTGTAAGGCTGGAAATTTTTATGCTAGTATGTGCGTCTAGCTAAATTACTTGCCTTTAGCTGTCGATATTGAGAAGTCGATGACTGTGAACCAAGAGGGTCAGCAAGTTGAAGAATGGCTTGAACTAGCAAATGGTTGTATTTGCTGCTCGGTAAGGTATGTGCTACGATAAATTTATGTATAAGACACATAGTCTCTACGGCCAAGTTATAAAGCTGCGCTCTGACCGGACGTTACGGTAGGGATGCTGGAGTTCTGGCCATTGAATCTCTAATGAACAGGAGGGGGACTTTTGATTATATCCTACTTGAGACCACCGGACTAGCTGACCCCGGGAACATTGCCCCTTTATTTTGGGTTGATGATGGGCTGGGCAGCTCCATCTATCTTGACGGGATTGTCACATTGGTCGATGCAAAGAACATTAATAGGCTATTGGATGAACCCTCTTGCGAAGAAGAAAAGCAAGGTGTTCACGAAGGAAGCATATTAACAACCGCCCACTTACAAATATCACATGCAGATGTGATCATTCTCAATAAGACCGATCTAGTCTCAAGCGATGAACTTGTAAAGGTGAAAGATAGGATTACCTCCATTAACGGCCTGGCTACAATCCATGTAACGGACCATAGCAAGATACCGAGTATCGAGGGCACGGTTCTTGAGCTGCACTCTTATGACAAATTAACAACCGTAGATTTCTCCACCAAAGGCCAGAGTCGACTCGATGCTGTAAGTTCCTACCTATTTCTTCTTCACCGAAAAGGCTTTCTCTTATCTTGAGGACAAAAATTGACAATATCACTTAGACCATTTCTACACTTGCATTCACAATCTCGAATATAACAGAGGATAAGGTTGCGCATATAGATGAATGGCTGCAAGCCGTGCTCTGGAATCAAGAATTTCCACAACATAAACACAGCCCTGGGGAGACTATCACAGACTTCGAAATCCATCGACTGAAGGGTATTCTTTATCTAACAAATGGAAAAACAAGAATAATCCAGGGTGTAAGGGAAGTCTTCGAAATTACAGATGCAGAAGATAGTCAGCCAACATCTAAACCTGAATCTAAAATCGTCCTTATCGGACGCGGGCTTGGATTGGACAGCTCAGTATGGCAGAGGAGCCTCCTTTCATATTTAGAGCAGTGAAAGAGCTTATTGAAAGTAGCAAGGGCTACTGCTGGGCTGTTTGGCTATCTTCGGGAGCCTATGGTATCAGGCAAGGGGCATCTGGTAGATTCTTTCATAGCTATAAAAAAAAAAAAAAAAGCTAGACGGCACGCATCTAGACATCATGAATGTAAATCCTCGAGTTATCGCTGGTTCAGTATGTCGTTTCTGCATTATCTTCGGGTGGTATCGGGTGCCGAATAGCAGTTTGGGCCCTTGGCCGGGTTTTCACTTTTCCTAAAGGGGAACTATCAAGTCCAAGTTCACTCAAACTGCAGCCCTCCTCTTGGTTCTCTTCACCAGATGTCTTTGATTGTGCCGACTCAAAAGGTATAGGGCTTGCTGCGACTTTCGGTCTACTTTTGAACACACTATCATAATCAACGTAGTCACTATATCGGTCTTCATCTGTTGCTTCAGCGTTAGGTTTTTCCTTATTTTCGGCTCTTTTCTCAGGTGTTTCGAATGGATCACCGGGGAGAAGTAGCTGGGACTGTCGGCGGTTTTCTGAAATTGGCTTCCATGGACGAGGAGTCGCAGCAGATACAAACAGCATAGACTGTCTAGTGCGCTCCAACAGAGTAGCAGCCCGAGAAACGGGGTCTTCGTCGTGTTGAGGCTGTGCTCCATCATCCTGAATACCACGTTTATCACCTATAATCGGGTGGTCATCGATTTTAGGGTTAGTCTCAGGTAATTCAGGGTGGTTATCCTTTTCCAAAGACAAGGCGCCTAATTGCATGGCGAGCAAGTCCTCTGTCGATAAATTTCCAGAAGTATCTGCTTTGATTAAGTTTGTTGCTTCCGAGGCCTCATGAGACACAGAAGTTTCCCTCTGGACGGGCTTTGTATCATTAATAGTTTTTGGATTAGGGGAGGCATCAGGGGTATAATAGATCTCTTGTTCTAAAGGAACCATCGAGTTTATATCAATGTTAGCAGAACGTGTGGGTGTCTTTTGCGTTTCATCATGTTCGGCTAACGGATCTATGGTGCCGTCTTGTTCTTGAGGCACGACCTCGGGTTCCTTGTAATCTTCTGATCGTTGTAACCGAGTTCGTAGGCTGTCCAGTTCTAGTGAATCTTTAAATTTCCGCCACTTTTGAAGCCGGGATTTCTGTTTTGAGAGGCGGTCCTCCAACTCCGCTAATAGGTCTGGATGATTTGGCGACTCAATATCATTTTTGACCTCTACTTTTTTCATGCCGGACCACACCTGCGAAAAGTCCATCTCAAGCAATGGTTCTGAGACAGCCTGTGGATCTCCATTCAAAATTGTGTTGGCCCAATTAATATCGCCATGCCATGATCTGTTGATAGAGTCTTGAATTTGCTGTTGATATCTCAATTCTGAGGCTAACGGTTTGGGCATGCGTCTTGAATTTGCTAACTCATTAGATTTCAAATGGAGAAATTGCTTCAGGTCTCGACATGTCGAATTCAACTCATTTTTCTGGTCTATCATGGAATGTAGGGATGCACGGTATGCAATGATCATCGGCAGTAGGTTTTGAGTATCACTTGGGGGGCCTCGCTTGCCGATAGGGAGTGACAACGGAGGGGCTCCAGTGCGGTATTCACGAGATGAGGCTACAACTTTTCGTAGGACGATCGTAGAGAACTCGGCTAGGATTTCATCAAACTTCTCTCCAGTGCACTCTTCGAGCATTGCTTTCCGCAAGATTCTCTCCCTTCCCAGAGTTCCATTTTTTGTCAGCTCCGAAAGTGATCGGAAGAGAGCAGCCCGAAGGTTTGACGACTGTAGAGGTTCAAGTGGCGGGAAAAAGGGTTGGAGCTTCTATGATTTTGGGTTTAATGTTAGATGATACTCTCCTACGGAGTAATCATGACAGGTACGATAGTTCATACGTTTCTGGTGAGCTCAGGATCCCACAGCTGGAATAGGTAAAACAACGTCCATTCCACCGCCTGTACTCGTCTTCGCAGATTATTCTGGTTATCAGAAAGCGTCGATGGCACAATTCCGGGCCAGTCCGGACGCAGATCAAGACGCAAGAGCTTCAAATTGCGGATGAAGACTGCAATTGGCGGAGCCTGAGGCCATGTTTCGGCTCCGGAGCTCACTGTAGAAACACGCATAGGGTTCGTGTCGCAGAGGCGTTTTATGCATAGGTGGTTTCTGATGACAATCTGGCACGAGTTAGTCCACAGTTGTCATTTATCCTCTAGCCGTAGTGTTGTCTGTAGCAATTAGCTATCGATGCTCTCACACAGCCGAGCTTTAGTCTGATATTCAGGGAGATTTGGTGACTTTTGCTCACCGGGCAAGGGGCAGGTCACATGACGATAGCTTCGGCACTACCCCTGAACATAACGGAATGAATATCCATGGAACAGCGCTGGCTGTATCAGGGGTCAATGCATCTTCTTACTGGTACGGAGGATAATGGCAGCATTTCGCATGTTGCTGGTGCCAACCTTGTGTTAGGTAACGAGGAAGAGCATCTCTTCATCAAATAATGAGCGAGCGATACACTGCTTTCATCCTATATATCGGGGAATTCCTTTGTTTGATAGTTATATGAAGCACCTACTCCGTAGAGCAGGTAATCTTCTATTCCTATCTCAACAAAGGAGGGCTTTTACACAAATAATGACCAGGCTATTCCTTTCAACCAACAGGGGCCAGGTTAAACAACATATTGATAAATAATAGAATGTTTTAATCAAAAAACGTGCGATTTGATAGGGCCGAGCTTATTAGTCATCCTGATCGTTTGCATGGATCTCGAGAAGCTCCAAAAAAGCAAAAATAATCATAATCGGCTGCTGATATGAAGGTTCAGATATAAAGATAGACGGAACCCCCCGCCAACTTGCCACGGAGCTCCTCACCCCCATCGATTAATCTTGTCCCCAGCTCAGGTCATTGCTGGAATAAAGATGGGTTCAAACACGCCCTGGACCACTCAGTCCGGTAAGTATCGGTCAATTCAGCTGGCGTAAAGGAGGGCTAAGCTGACTTGTTTCTGCATAGTTATCTCAACACTACCGCATCCTCTAGCGGAAAACGGCTCCTCGCCCATCCCCTTCTTTCACCTTCTAGAACGGCTAAAAACCACCAAAAGAGAAGGCTGGCGACGGTTCAATATTTCCAATGGCGAGTCTATAGCCGATCACATGTACCGCATGTCTGTCATGACAATGCTGGCCCCGCCCTCGCTTGCCTCCAAACTGAATATTCTTCATTGCACGAAGATGGCACTCGTTCATGACATGGCCGAATCGATCGTTGGAGATATAACACCCGTTGATACCGAAGTGACCAAGGCCGAAAAAGCGAGGCGAGAAGCAGAAGTGATGGAATATATATCTAAGACACTACTGGGCAGTGTCTTCGGGGGAACTCCAGGAGAAGGCCTTCAGAAGATTTTTGAAGAGTACGAAGAAGACAAAACGCTCGAAGCACGGTTCGTGCACGATATCGATAAGATGGAATTGCTTCTGCAGACTGTTGAGTACGAGCGGGCCCATGGTGGGAAGCTTGATCTAACGGAGTTCTACCACGTCTTTAAGAAAATACGGCTACCAGAAATCAAGGCTTGGGGAGAGGAAGTTATTCGAGAAAGAGAAGCATTCTGGGCAGATAAACCCAACCCTCCTAAGTTACCCCAGTGAAATCTGCGGACCGCTTTCCTTTTTACCCCCCAAATACCTGGTTTTAGACTGTTTTTGTCTGGGATACGAACCTAGAGAATTTTATAAGCAGGACGGACCTTGATTCATGCGTCGTTACTGACGATTTGGTTTAGCCCGCTACCAGCAGGCGCCTGTTTCATTCTTATATTTCATGTTCTTGGTTATGCTGCTTATGTTCATGTTCCTTTCCTATGTTATTGGCACCATTGATAGATTCATTTTTCGACTGGGCTACGTCCGAAATTGAGCAGAGCTCAACTTTAGCCCCAATAGACACGCGCGTATAATAAATACATCGACTTTAATGATTACACGTTTTCGAAGTGGTTCCTCCTGAGTAAAAATTTGCCATACCTGTCAGAATGTTTGCTCAGGGCTACTCTCGGGACATATTAAACTGTGACTTGCAATTTTACAACTAGACATGTTCCGAAAACGGCTATATAATGCTCAGTAATAGCTGGCATTTGATACCGAGCTGCCTCAGACTCATGTAGGCCCAGCCCCGGCGCGGCTAATTTAAGCCACGTGACCACGCGGCGATTTTTCGCTTCTCCGCGACTTTATCAACGTAGCTCGACAGGGTTATCATCATCATGCATCTCCCCTTACCGGAAACGGAGACACAGGATGACAAAATTTTTGATCCCAAACATCAAATGTGAATTAGATTGGATAGTTATAACTAGAAGGACTCATTTCGTGAATTCTACCGCAAGTGGCCACCATTTCACCATCAATGCCACGGTCCCTGACTCCTAGGAAGACCCGACATGGACGCGATACCAATTCAAGGCTCGCTTTATTAGAGGCACTTGACACGCCTCCGGGGTCTTCGGCTGATGAGATTAGAACCTCGGAGTTCTTTAATGGGGAGGACTCTTCTTCTGAGGACTCCTCCCTATCGGAGCCTGAAGACAGCGAGGCAGGTCTGCACGAAAAGCCAGACGGCAGTGATGATGATGACGATGAAGATGAAGATGAAGATGTGAACTGGGAAGATGTCACTTCTAATACCAATTCCAACATCCAAACCCCAGCTCCAGTCCTGCGAGACTTGAGTATCGTGCTAGAAAGGAATGAAGAATCATTCACCCCTCTTTCACTTTCTTCCAAGAAAGGGCCAAGTAAGATCGACCGTCTAATTAGGACACAAACGCATTGCATGCATGTGCAGTGTCTTCTATTTCACAACGCTGTTAGAAATGCCTGGATTAATGATCCAGAAACAAAGAAGATCCTCCTTTGCCAGTTGCCAGAAAAAATCAATAAACAGCTGGAGCAGTGGAGATCAATAGTCAAGTCATCTGTCTCGGTATCAGAGGGCCAGGATGAGCCTACATACCAGATTCTGACAGCGCTTGCTTCTTACTGGTCTGAATCTTTCAATATTACTGCCCCTGGATTGAGAAAAAGAGGTTACAGACCAATTCCCATTCTTGGGAGAGAGATTTCCAAATTCAATGGTCCGGATGAAGATGGAAACGACCATGGGGAAATTATTCGTGATATCACCGAATTTCGTGAGCTCGCTCGGCGACGTCAAGGGTCCCGTGATACAGGAGCCCAGCTTTTTACCTCTCTTTTAAGAGCTGTTGGCCTGGAAGCAAGAATGGTTACCAGCCTACAGCCGATTGGCTTTGGATGGAGTAAATCTGAGGAATATAACCCCAAAGAAAAGCCAAGCCGTTCCGGAAAGAAGATAGATAAAGATCTCAAGCATCCAATATACTGGTCTGAAGTTGTATCGCCTATTACGAATGATATTATACCCGTGGAGGCTCTTGTTCTTCCATTTTACCTGGCCAGAACTCCAGAACGTTTAGCAATGTTTGAACCTCCAGCTGCGAAAGCGGAAAAGGCAAAACAAGTGATAGCATATGTGATTGCATACTCTCCGGATGCAACTGCAAAAGACGTCACTATTCGGTATCTGAAAAAGCAAGCCTGGCCTGGGAAAACAAAGGGATTTCGACTACCCGTAGAAAAAATTCCGTACAATAGGTCTGGAACTCGTGCATATTACGAATATGACTGGTTTAAGACCACAATGCGAGGCTATCTACGACCAGCAAGTAAAAGGACTGCTGCCGATGCCAAAGAAGATGAAGCCCTTACACCTGGCCAAGCAAGGAATAATAAGCCAAAGGAGGGAGATACACTCCAGAGTCTGAAGGCGTCTGATGAGTTTGTCCTGGAGAGGTTTTTGAAAAGAGAAGAAGCCCTCCGCTCCGGTGCAACCCATGTCCGTACTTTCACTACTGGCAAAAACGAGAAGAAGAAAGAGGAAAAGGTCTATAAACGATCGGATGTAGTGAAATGCCTTTCTGCGGAGAGCTGGCATAAAGAAGGACGAAAAGTTAAGATGGGGCAGACACCTCTGAAACTTGTTCCCATCAGGGCAGTTACGCTCAACAGAAAAAGAGAGGTAGACGAACTTCATCGCGAGACAGGTGAGAAGCCAATGCAAGGACTGTACGCCCGATATCAAACGGAATTTATAATCCCACCGCCTATAAAGGATGGGGTAATACCCAAGAATGAGTATGGGAACATTGATTGTTTCGTTCCATCCATGATACCACGAGGAGCAGCACATGTGCCGTACCCCGGGACCGTCCGCGTTTGCAAGAAACTCGGCATAGATTATGCAGAAGCAGTTACCGGATTTGAATTCGGGAGTAAAATGGCCGTTCCAATAATTGAAGGGGTAGTCGTTGCGGCCGAGAATGAGAACCTTTTGAAGGATGCATGGATGGCTGATGAACAGGAAAAAAGGAGAAAAGAGAAGCTCAAGCATGACAAACTTATCCTAGCTACGTGGCGGAAATTTATAATGGGCCTTCGCATTAATGATCGGCTCCGGGAAGAATACGGTGGAATTGGTGAAACTGAATCTCACAATCCATTTGCTAGTCGCATGGACCCTGACCCTGAAGCTCGTCAGGCTACAGAGGTTGATAGCCAGAGTCACGACACAGGAGGTGGATTTCTTGTTCCTGGAGCTGACGATGATATGCACGAAGAAGGTGGTTTTTTGGTTGAAGATGATAACCCACATGAAGGCTAGAGTCTACCAGTCCATGGTTTGGATGGCCCGGAAGCGGGTGCATTATATTGTACCAGTTTTTTTTTTTTTTTTTTTTTCCTCAAAGCTATCATCAGCGCCCACTTACTATACATCATCTATCATCTCAAGCTAGCATTTTGGGGATCGATATTCCATATATGACGGTTGCATAGTTTTGTTTTGATGCATGGGCTCTGCTGGTAGTCTACAGCATTTGAACCAGCCGTGGTTCTACTCGGCCATAGGCAGTAGGCCTACGGCTAGGTATTTAGCCAGCGGAGATTTACGGAGTTTAACTGCCTAATTGACTGCTGAATATTGTCACAGGCAAGGAATGATTGAGTATCCATAGTCTACCGAGTAGGTTACA